GAAAGGAGTGGAAGGAGGGGGAGGGAAATAGGAACTGGGGAGGAGGCAGAATTTTTTTTCAACAACTAAAAAAATATAAACAAAAAAATAAAGAAAAAAAAAAGAATTCCCTGTTGGCCATGATACTCTGGGTCTCATTAATCGTAGGTCACCTCAGCATAACACAAAGGTAGACACAGACACACATGCATAGGTACATATACATACCACACATACTATGCTATTTAACAAATAAGACCACATGTCTGGAGAGAAAGCTCAGTCAGAAAAGACAACTTTTGCCAAGACAGATGAGCTGAGTTTATCCCCAGGCTTTATTTGGTGGTCGTGGACAGAATCAACTTCAGAAAGCTGTCCTCTGTCCTCTACATGTGGGCTGTGGCTCATGCTCATTCACAGACAGAATGCACAAATGTAATAAAAAAAAATTTAAGAATCACAATCCACATACCCCCTGAATCTGTGCTACATCCACGGCTAAGGTTGTGGTCAAGGCTCCCATGCTGTTTTCGCTATCATCATATCAGGTCTTATCCTAGAGAGAAGGGGAATTGACACATGCTTAGGAAAACATTCTTCTCACATCTGTGATTTTTCTGTCCAGTTGGAAAGAACATAGCTGCCTCTCACTTTTCAGTAAGCACCACGGATCAACTGACTTCTGCATCTTGTTCATAAAGCATTATGTTTTGTATAGACTGAAGAATGTAAGCCTGAATCATGGATGCATTACCATATTACAGTATGTAGAATGTAGAATTAGAGACGTAGGACGATTACTGTTAGAAATGGTTTTTGGTATTGGGCATCAATACTCAATGCATGCTACATGCCCATTAGCAATGATCCGTATAGTCACAGCATTCTACTTGCAGAGTCATGTTCAGTACAACTTAGAAACATCTTCAGATCTTTTTTCCTAAACTGATCAGTGATTAAACCAACAGCAACACCAACTCTTTCTTTTTCCTTTAGGGCGGAGGTATGATCTCACTGGGCACTTTCCATTACTCCCTCAGTTTGCAGTTTGGTAAGCCTTAGCTACTGTGAAACAAGAATTGGAAGGCTGAAAAACTGCTGCCTAGAAGCGTGGAGTCTGAAAAAGACAGGAAAGAAACACAAGCAATCAAAGCACTAGGTAAGAATTGATTTTATCTCAACGGCGAATAGAGAGAGTGCTTCTAAGCACTTCTCAACAGGAAAAAATGTTTCCTTTTACTAAGCGTTGCCTCCTGCTGATGCAGACAGTCTTATGAATTAAAGACCAGTGGAGAAATTGACAAATATGCTTCGTTAGAAAAGAAAAGAAAGGTAAAGAAAGAAAGAAAAAACTTTTGGTTTTATACAACCCAGCCAGGGCTCTGAGGCCCAGGTTACCCAGTGCTGTCAAGGAAACCAAAATAAAAGAGAAGCAGGCTGTGCAGGAATTGTTCAGTGTGCCAGAAGAATGATCTGTGGAGAAAGGCGCCAAGAGTAGGGTGGGAGTAACTGTGTTCTGGAGCCACGGCCACAGAAGCTTTTCTCAAAGGGTCTCAGGTGTCTTTGGTGACCATCCTCTGTGAGCAAAGCACCCCGGCAAGAGGTAAACTCTCAAGCCTGCCAGCTGCAGTGCGGAATTGTCAGTCTGGATCACTGGCCAGAATCTTATGTTCCAGATTCTGTAGTAACTTACTATACCGCAGAATTAACAGTCTCAGCTACTTGTCCAATCAACAGTATGTTCAAACTGCTTTTCTGCATGTAAGTATTTGGCTTCTTGTGTATGCAATCTATGCCAAAATAGCAGATTTTCTGGAATTTAGCTGGCATTGAGTGAAAACTGGCTTACTTTTTGTCCTCTCAGAGATAAAATAAATATAAATAGAGGCTATCAGGAATTTTGACATACGTTTTCCTATTAATAATATTACTAGAAACAAGAATACAATTACACTCCAAGGAGACTGTGGCATGTATTCTTTTCTGTAGTTGTTTCAGCTGCCCTGAAGTAAGATTTTGGTTGTGTTCTAACAAAAAAAAAAAAACTTGCCTGAAGATCAGAGTGCAGAGCTAAGCCAATAGAGGCCAGGCAATGGTGGCACACACCTTTAATCTCAGGATTCAGGGCACAGACAGATCCATGTTAGTTCAAGGCTACCCTGGCTTCCACGAAATTGATTCAGTCTGAAAGAGAAACAGATCTCACACAAAGGTGATCCCAGCACTAGGGATTACATGCCTTTAATCCCAGCACTAAGAAGGTGGAGGCAGGAGTGATAAGACTGGGCGGAGAGAGGAATACAAGTCAGGAAGAGACACAAGCTCAATGCAGTCTGAGGAGCAATGCAGTCTAGGCAGTATGTCTGAGAATGCAGTCTGAGGAGGCAGTCTGAGGACAGAATTGCCCCTTTGGTCTGATGATTGGTAGAAGTAAGAACTCTCCAGTGAGCGACCTCTCTCTTTCTCTGATCTTCAGCATTAACCCCTATATCTGGCTCTGGGTTTTTGGTTACTAATACAAATTAGAATTTTTACTACACAACCGCATGAGGTACTATGTAACCCACATTTCGTAGGTTGGAAAATGGATATAGTGAGGGAAGGAAGGGCTAGGCCAAGGGCACACAGCTGGCAAGTGCCAGCCCCAGGTTTTGAGCATCAGTTCTTAAGAAGCTGTGTTGTTTTGTTCTGCCTCTCATCTGAAATGTTCTTGGTTGTGTTTTATTTCTTGCTTCTTAAGCTTTGGGATTTGTTACCACACCTTTTGGAAGAAGCTTCAGGCTTCTGGAGACATCTAAGTGACTCTCTTCAATGCTATTAGCTGATGGCTGGAAGGCTCATTTTTATCAAGAATCCCTAAACAATTCAATTTACAAAAGAAATAAAAAACCCCAAAAAACAGAAAACAAAGCAACCCCCTTAGACAATAACAAAAAACCTCCACAAAACTTCAAACCCCCACAGCTCTGTAGATCAATTACTGACCACTGAAAAATAGAAGGAGCAATATTTTCTATCATGGAAGTTAGGGACAATCAGAGTAGTTTTTCAGCTGAAAGGCTCTTGAGTAATCACATAAAAGATAGATTGTATATCTACAGAAAGCCACACCCGATTCTATAAACACATCTACTTCAGTGAGATTCCAGAATGGTTGTAAAAAGGAGTTGCAGGCCTCAGCATGCTTTGTCAGGTTTCAAAGTTCTGTCTTAGCACAGAAACCCAGGCAATGCAAGTTAGGGAAAATCAGCAATGCCACGAAGGCATTTACAAAAAAAAAAAAAAAAAAAAAAAAAAAAAAAAAAAAAAAAAAAAAAAAAAAAAAAAAAAAAAAAAAAAAAAAAAAAAAAAAGGTAAAAATGCTGTGCCTATACCAGCTCCTCCATCAAAAAAAAATGCAAATATAAGAAGCCAGAATAATGCTGAAGGACATTGTGAGAAAGAGAAAACATGGAGAGACAGAGGGGGCTGAGTCACGTTGGCTAAGCAGCACATGGCTTCTTTGTCCTCGTGGTGTGCTTTCCAAGGGCAGCACTGACAGTGTGTGGCACAGCAAGTCCTAGTGAAGAGTGCTGCTGTGCTCGTGGCCTTCGCATGGTTAACGCTAAAGGGTCCACGCTGCTTCGTGCCAGACCACCAGAAAATCTGACAGCGTTCTCCGGGTTACAGTGCTTCAGAATCTGACATTTTTCATCTTAAAACATTTTGTGAACAGGGTCTGGAGAGATGGCTCAGTGGTTAAGAGCACTTGTTGCTCTTTCATGGGATCCGAGTTAGGTTTCCAGCACGCAAGCCAGGCAGTTCAACAGCCTCTCACTCCAGTTCTAGGAGCCCTAAGCCTCTGGCCTCTGTCACCTGCATCCATTTGTACATTCCCTTACAGACATACATGCGTACTAATAGTTACACACACCCTTACAGACATACATACTAATAGTTACACACACCCTTACAGACATACATGTGTACTAATAGTTATACACACCCTTACAGACATACATACTAATAGTTACACACACCCTTACAGACATACATGTGTACTAATAGTTATACACACCCTTACATACACACATACTAATAGTTACACACACCCTTACAGACATATATACTAATAGTTACACACACCCTTACAGACATATATACTAATAGTTACACACACCCTTACAGACACACATACTAATAGTTACACACACCCTTACAGACATACATATATACTAACAGTTACATACACCTTTACAGACACACATGCACACTAATAGTTACACACACCCTTACAGACATACATATATACTAACAGTTACATACACCTTTACAGACACACATGCACACTAATAGTTACACACACCCTTACAGACACA